GCGGGTCGAGTCTGGGCGTAGACCAACCGGGACGTCCACTGTGACCGGGCAGTCAGCACCTCTAAGGAGAGGGTGGTGCCCGTGCGGTGGGAAATGGGAAGGCCTGTCAGAGCTGAGCTTGGGCAGGTTTGAGAGCTTCCGGGCGGGTCTGAAGAGCGCCAGGAGTCAGGAGGCTCCAGTTCCTGTGTTGCCAAGCAGGCCGGTGGCTCTTCTCCTTGCTCAGAAGAGTGCGTGTGCCTTGTTTGCTGGGCTGTTGCTACAGGGCGACTCCTGCACTTGTCCCGTGGTTGTGAGTCAATAGCCCGTGGCTGGTCCGTTTTTATTTTTCTGAGAGCCGCTGGCATTCTTGTTTGGGGCCAGAAGCTCCTTTCGGTGCGTGGAGAACTCATCAGTGCAAAATAACTGCAGCTTTAGGACAACAGCCAAGAAAGCAGCCTTTGAAAGGAGTGAAGAGTAGTTGTTTCTTATTGGCTCGGCCCGGCCCTTGGCTTTTCCGTGTGAAATGAAAGGAGTAGGGGAAGCAGACCAGGCCGCAGCACTGGGCCACTGAGCCCCGCGTGCCAGGCGGCACGGGCGGGCTGGCGGCCAGCGAGTCTTCCTCAGCTCCGGTCTTTCTTTCTTTCATTCTTTTCCTCTCCCCCGTCAGACTGTGAACCAGCTGGCCCATGCCCTTCACCAGGACGAGCAGCTCCATGCTGGCAGCCTAGTGAGTGTGATGTGGCCCAACTCCAAGTGCCCACTTCTGAAGGATGACCTCGTGCTGATGGACAGGTAAGAGGGAAAGTGCCTCCGTAGGAGGTCCACGCTGGGCCCTCTCCGGGTTTCTTTTTCTGCATCCTCCAGCCAGGGTCCCCTGGGGCCTGTTTGGTGCTCTGCTTCTCGTGCTGCCTTTCCTACTGGCTCGGCCAAATCCTCCCGCCTCCTGGATTTCCCCGGGTCTGGCTGCTGTAGCCGTTGGCATCAGTGCCCTGGAAATGTCCCAGTGACGATCCATAAAGACAGATGGGAGGGAGGCCCAAAAGTTGAGGAGGTTCTCAGCTGTAACCCGAGGTTGGTGCGTGTATTAGGGTTGGGAGCTTGTGGTGTTGGGGTCCGTGTGGTATTTTATTTCTCTCGAAGGAACACTTTGGGGCAGGTCATAACTGTCTTGAGAAGTACGGTACCGTAGTGCTTATTGGACTCACAGAAATATAAAATTTCACTTTAATTGCGTATCTGCAAAGCGAAATTACAAACCATTATTAAAAAAATTTTTTTTTAATGTTTATTTTTGAGAGGGAGAGACAGAGTACAAGCGGGGGTGGGGCAGAGAGAGAGGGAGACACCGAATCCAAAGCAGGCTCCAGGCTCTGAGCTGGCAGCACAGAGCCCAATATGGGGCTCGAACTCACGAGCTGTGAGATCATGACTTGAGCCAAAGTCGGACACTTAACAGACTGAGCCACCCAGTTGCCCTACAAGTCATTATTTTTAATGTTTTAATTTTATTTTCTTTCAATGTTTATTTTGAGGGGGAGAGAGAAAGAGAGAGAGCAGGGGAGGGGGAGAGAGAGAATCCCAAGCAAGCTCCATGCTGCCAGCGAGGGGCTCAAACTCCTGAACCATGAGATCATGACCTGAGCCGAGATCAAGAGTCAGATGCCTAACCGACTGAGCCACCCAGGCGCCCCAAACCGTTGTTTTAATAAAAGTGATACACGGGTGGAACAAAACACAAAACGTATTTTCAGACTATCAGGAAGGATATGAAATGAAAAGTAATTATCCCTCCAGTAAAGGCCAGGCCCGATTTCTCTCACACCTGTAACTTTGTCCTCCTTTGCCTGGCTGCCTCAAGTCTGTGCAGAGCAGGAAGACTAGGGCCCAAGGTCTGTGTGCCTGATGATGCTTTACCCCGTCACCTCTAGCCCTGGCATCGACGTCACCACAGAGCTGGACAGCTGGATTGACAAGTTTTGCTTGGATGCCGACGTGTTTGTGTTGGTGGCCAACTCAGAGTCCACCCTGATGCAGACGGTAACCCCTCCACCTTTTCCCACACCCCTGGACCCCAGCGGAACGGGCAGGGGGTGCGTGTGGCTGACAACCTTGGCCAGCACAGCCCCTCCTGTACTGAGGTCTTTGTCCCCCTTCAGGAGAAGCAGTTCTTCCACAAGGTGAGTGAGCGCCTGTCCCGCCCGAACATCTTCATCCTGAACAACCGCTGGGACGCGTCCGCCTCGGAGCCTGAGTACATGGAAGAGGTGAGTAGCTCTTTAGTCGTCACTTTGGGACCGTGTCCCCCCAGAGCCTCTCCGTGGGCTCTCCGGCCACATTGGGCCTGTGACTGACTTCTTCACTAGAGATTTCCCAGGTGTTCCCTGGGGTCACTGTGGTGTCTTCTGAGAGCTTTAGGAACACTCCCTTCACTTCTGCTCACTTCCCCTGCTCCCTCTACTCTTCCAAAGGCTGTCATCCAGGCCTGAAAAGCGTCCCCACCGCGTCAACCACACCCTTGTTTGAGGCCAGTGCTCACTTCAGTCCATGAAGAGTTACTCGTTATAGAACAGGCTCAGCTTTCAGGAGACGTCCAGGAAAGAAGCTTAAAGGAGGAGCAAAGAATAATTGATTCTTACTGGCAAATCCTCTAGTTCTTTACCTTTTTGCATGAGAGGAAAGGAAAAGGAGTAACAGACTGGTAACATGGGACGACGAGGCGCGCGGCCCGCAGGCTGACGCTGGACGGTGACGGGGAAGCTCCTTGTCTATGAGATGCGTGGAACAGAGTTCTTGGAAGGAGGAAATCTGCTGACTTGAGGAAAGCACCTCCCAGTAGAACCTGAGGATTTCAGAGCTAGAAGGGATTTCCCGGTGGCGTCCACTGATCTTATAAACGAGGCCCTGGGAGGACTCGGCTTGGCAGGGTGAAGCCCAAGTTTAGGTTTCTTGGCTCCGGGTTCCTTTCCTTCTTTCTGGGCACCGAAGTGAGGCACCGTGTGGGTTCTAACAAGAGGTAGTTTGGGGCAGGTTTAGGCATTTCTGCTTGTATGTGCATAAAATATTTGTGGCAGCCTGTGCCCCAAGAAACCCCCATGACGTGGGTTCTGGGGAACTCGGTGGCTAGAGAGCCGCGATAGTAGGAGATGACTCCTCATGTGTGTGGGAGGTGTGTGTTTGTACCTGTGGAATACTGAACCATGTGACTGCCTTACCTCTTCTTTAGAAGAGAGGCAGTTCGGGGCTGTGGGCTCCATTGGGAGGGGGCCACTGGCACCCCACCTGGTCACACCCACCCATCTGCTTGGGCTTCAGGTGCGGCGGCAGCACATGGAACGTTGTACCAGCTTCCTGGTGGATGAGCTGGGCGTGGTGGACCGAGGCCAGGCTGGAGACCGCATCTTCTTTGTGTCTGCCAAGGAGGTGCTCAACGCCAGGATCCAGAAGGCCCAGGGCATGCCTGAGGGAGGTACGATGGAACAGACTTCCTTTTCCCTGATGGTTGAGACATCTGGCTTGTGCTCAGCCCGTGAAGATGGTTCTGATGAAGAGCCTTGAGGGAGAAGCTCTTTGCTTCTCGGCCAGTGTTTAAGCCAAGTGCCCCGTCGGCTTGGCTTTGGACGATGTTACCATTTCCTTCTGGGGTTGTTTCCGGACTAATATGGTGTAATTCTCCTAGGGGGCGCTCTTGCAGAAGGCTTTCAAGTGAGGATGTTTGAGTTTCAGAACTTTGAAAGGAGATTTGAGGTGAGCCCTTTGATTCCATTTGATTATTCTGTGCCTCCCCGGCACCCGCCAGCCGTGACCCTGGCAGTGAACGCCAGAGCCTCGCCTGGGGCTGGTGGACCCCAGTGGCCCCCGCCTTCCTCAGCACCTCTTGTCTGTTCCAGGAGTGCATCTCCCAGTCTGCGGTGAAGACCAAGTTCGAGCAGCACACGGTCCGGGCCAAGCAGATTGCGGAAGCGGTGCGTCTCATCATGGACTCCCTGCACGTTGCGGCACAGGAGCAGCGGTAAGAACCCGACACCGCGTGCCCGCAGAGGGCAGAGCTGGGAGGGGATCGCTCACCCCAGCCTGGGGACTTGCCGGCAGAGCTGAGTCTCTGGGGTGCCACCGGGACTAGTGAGATCCCCAGGGAGCAGCCTGGCGAGGATGGCCATTGGGTGGGTATCTGGTCATCCCACGTGGTCTGTGTGGTGGTTCTTAGAAGTGTTGCCCCACGAGCCCGATGTTGGAGGCCTCAGCCGACACCACACTGAGCATGGCAGCGTTTCTCAAGAGCTAGAGGCAGGAGATGTGGATTTGGTTTTTTTAAAGATTTTATTTTATTGTAAGTAATCTCTACACCCATCGTGGAGCTTGAGCTCGGTCCCCAGGAACAAGGGCACGTGCTCCACTGCACTAAGCCAGCCAGGTGCTCCCAGGGCACAGTTTTTTAAAAATAACCTTTTTTTTTTTTTTTTAATGTTTGTTTATTTTTGAGAGAGAGAGAGCGCGCGCGCGCTTGAGCAGGGAAGGGACAGAGAGAGAGGGAGACACAGATCCAAAGCAGGATCCCGGCTCTGAGTTTTCAGCACAGAGCCCGATGCAGGGCTCAAACTCACGAACCGTGAGATCATGACCTGAGCTGAAGTCAGATGCTTAACCGACTGAGCCACCCAGGTGCCCTGTTTTTTGTTGTTGTTGTTTTGTTTTGTTTTTAATAGAAATTAAAATATGGGAAAATACAGAGAATAACGTAAAAACATCTTGCTTTCTTTAGTGTTTGCTTTATATTATCCTAAAGTTGAAATAAAACAAAAAACATCAAACACCCTTTGAGTCTTCAGCCCCTCCCCCGCTGTCACCCTGCCCACTCCTCAGAGGCAATGGCAGCCATGAATTTGGTGTGTAGCCCCATCATCCATTTAGAAAGTACTTTTGCAAAAATCCTGAAGAATACATAATACTGCTGTGGATGTGCCTCAGGCATGTGGACAGGGTGTCATAGTGAACGTGTCAGGGCACCTTGTGTTTCTTTCCACTTGGCTTTGGTTTTGTCCCCTATCCCTTTCAGGTAACACAGAGCTGGTAACACAGAGTTGGTGTTTCTATTAACTGAGATAGAGCATCCCGTTGGCAATATACCTCATTTTCCTACGGGTTGATTTTTATTTTTGTTTATTTTTTGATATTTATTTGAGAGAGAGCGAGAGAGAGAGAGCATATGCACGCACACCTGTGCAAGCAGGGGAGGGGCAGAGAGAGGGAGAGAGAGAATCCCAAGCAGGCTCTGCGCTGTCAGCACAGAGCCGGACATGGGGCTCGATCTCACGACTCTGGGAACGTGACCTGAGCTGAAACCAAGAGTCCAACGCTTAACTGATCGAGCTACCCAGGTGCCCCAGCCAACGGATTAGTTTTTAGATTTAATTCTTTTCTGTTGCAAACCCTGTTGCAGAGGACACCGGTTCAAGTGGCCCCTTGTGCACATTTGTTAAGAGTATGTCTAGGAGCTTAACTCCCGGAGGCAGAACTGTTTTGTCCTAGGGTGTGTGCATTTTCAGTTTTAGCGTTTTCCTCTGATGCCCTCTGAAACGTCTGAACGCGTCCCCAGTTCCCCCGCGGTGCGTGCTGGGACTGTGCATTCCCCGAGCCTTACCGGCACTTCAGACTTGGTGATTTTTGCCAGGTTCCTGCCTGCGTAGAGTAGTACCTCTTTTTAATTTCATTTCCCCGATGACTAGTGAGGCTGAGCTTTTTTTTTCCCGGATTAATGAGCAGAATCTGTTCTAAACGCCCCCCTCCCCATCCCCCCAAGCATCCTCCTTGGTCCCCCACCACCTCTTCCCAGCTGGCAGACCTAAGGGCACAGGGCTGGTGCTCAGGAACGGGGAGAGCATGCTTCTGGGCACCGTCTGACATTGCTGGGGCCCCAGCTGGGGCATGTGCAGCCTTCCTGGCGTCCCCTCGCTCCTCCGCTTGGTTGGGTGGGGACCCGCTCCTGAGCCCAGCGCGCTTTCTCTCAGGGTCTACTGCCTGGAGATGCGGGAAGAACGGCAAGAGCGGCTGAGGTTTATTGACAAGCAGCTGGAGCTCCTGGCGCAGGACTATAAGCTGCGGATTAAACAGATCACGGAGGAGGTGGAGAGGCAGGTGAGGATCGTGGAGGAAGCACTCTGGGCGATCTGGACTGCCTAGGAGTGTCCAGGGTGCTGGCGGTTTCTCAGCCTTCTAGAAGGAAGTTGTGGCCCTGACTGGAGCGGGCGCATAGCTTCCCCTGGGCTCCCTGGTCCCTCGTGTGACCCTGGGCAAGTCCCTGTGCTCTGGGCCTCCCCTCCACATCTCCGAGGAGCATTGGCCCGCCAGTCGGACATCCCTTCTCCCTCAAAAGCTTTCCTGCCGTAGGGGAGCTGAGAAGACCGCTGGCTTGTGGGGAAGCTCATGCGGTCTGTGAGGACTCGTTAGGCTCTCCTGGTGCTGCAGGAGGGAACCAGGCTCACCTGCCCTCCATGCTTCACGGTACGCGTCCCTCTCCCGCAGGTGTCCACTGCGATGGCGGAGGAGATCAGGCGCCTCTCCGTGCTGGTGGACGAATACCAGATGGATTTCCACCCTTCCCCAGTGGTCCTCAAGGTCTACAAGAACGTGAGTCGTTAAGCAGCAGGTGTTCTGCACGGGGACTCGCTTTAATCCCTTGGGCCGCTGGGTGGAATTGCCACGTGACAGTGATTCGGCCCCTGCTGGTCTGCGTCAGGGTCCCTCAGCCAGGGAGATAGGACCCAGGCTCCACTCCGCGTTCCGCGGTCACCTGCTGGGTGCGGGCTGACCAGCCTCGGGCTTCCTTGTCTTCTGGCTCCCCAGAACGAACTCCTGACGGGGGCGTCGCCTCTCTGAACCTCTGCCTCCCTGTTGCAGGAATTGCACCGCCATATAGAGGAAGGACTGGGCCGGAATATGTCTGACCGCTGCTCCACAGCCATCACCAGCTCTCTGCAAACCATGCAGCAGGACATGATAGGTCAGTGGGGACTTGAGACTGGGGCTTTGGGTTGCCCAGCGGTCAGCTTTGGAGGCCAGTCCACAGAAATAATGGCCTCTCCTTGTCTGTCACTCTTGACGATGAGTCTGTCCGGTACCCTCAGGTTCTTGGGGTGTGCGGAGCCTGTGTTCCACACACAGACTCGGGGAGCCGGCTTGAGTTACCACACGGGACTGTCACAGGCTGAGAGTTTGGCCTGTCCTTAAATTCACCTGAAGCATAAACGTCAGCAGGTGTTGGAGCCTCGGTCCACACACCCCTGGGGCCAGCTGGCCTGCCTCTCTGGGAGGGGCCCTTGTGGCACCACAGGCCATTCCTGCAGAGCAGTCTGCGTCCTCGGCGGAGGCTGGCACGGCCTCCATTTCGAGGCTGGACCCCGCTGTGGCACAGGGCCGAGCCGATGCGCTTTCCCCTCGTTTGTGTTCCCGACAGATGGTTTGAAACCCCTCCTTCCTGCGTCTGTGCGGAGTCAGATAGACATGCTGGTCCCTCGGCAGTGCTTCTCCCTCAGCTACGACCTGAACTGTGACAAGCTGTGTGCTGACTTCCAGGAGGACATCGAGTTCCATTTTTCACTCGGGTGGACCATGCTGGTGAATAGGTTCCTGGGCCCCAAGAACAGCCGCCGGGCCTTGATGGGCTACGGTGACCAGGCAAGCAGTGTCCCGCACCCTTGGGTGTCACCAGAGGTCAGTCTGCACCTGTCTCCAGACCTAGGAGCCATTCTCAGGGGGTTCCCTGCGGTTTCAACCGTGGCACGTGTGCTACCACACCACGGTCCGGGTTTTTGCCACAGATCCACGTAGCCTTGACTTAAGCACCGATATCTGCGGAATTAAAAACGTTAGCTGAGTGTTTTTTCTAACGTATGTCAAATGAAGCGTGTGACTTGTGAATATAGATGATTTAAGTCTATCCACATACCACCGTTTTAGAATTTAGATTTTTAAAAAATTTTTTATTTTTGAGAGAGAGAGCATGCATGCGCAGAAGCAGGGGAGGGGGCAGAGAGAGAGGGAGACACAGGATCCGAAGCAGGCTCCGGGCTCCGAGCTGTCCGCACAGGGCCCGACGTGGGGCTTGAACCCATGTACTATGAGATCATGACCTGAGCCGAAGTTGGACGCTTAACTGACTGAGCCACCCAGCCGCCCTTAAAATTTAGATTTTTAAAACCACTCATGTCTCTACCTGTCGAACTCATGTGTGTACTGCGCCTGGTGCACACCCCCACTTTGGGGGAATTGTACCGAGGCATTTGGGGCTGCCACTGCTCGCATTTTGTGGGGTCCCCATAGTGCTCACCTTGGGGCTGGCAGGTCTGTTACGAAGCTTCGGTCCTTCCTTGCTGCACGCAAAGCTTAATTTTCTTTTTGCCTTTTTGGAAACCGAAGAGCCACTCTGCGTCCCTGTCCCAGGACCCCTGGTCCTGAGGGTCACTGAGGGTTCTGTTGTACCAGAGACCTGCCACATTCTTCTTACCCCTCCTGTCGTGTCTTTTCAGGTGCAGCGCCCCATCCCCCTGACGCCAGCCAACCCCAGCATGCCCCCGCTGCCGCAGGGCTCCCTCACCCAAGAAGAGCTCATGGTTTCCATGGTCACCGGCCTGGCCTCCCTGACGTCCAGGACCTCCATGGGCATTCTCGTTGTTGGAGGCGTGGTCAGTGAGCAGCCCTGCCTGGGAAGGGCGGGGGCTGGAGGACAGGCGGGTGGGGCCCGAGGGGCACGGTGCTGGTCAGGGTCCCCGCGTCCACACAGCGGCGTTTTCACGCCCACCGGCGGCTTCTCACGGTGGTCTCTGGTCTCGGGAGCTGTGCGGTCTCAGCCTGAGTTTCGGCGTGTTAGTCATTGACTTCTTGAAGTCTCAGCCGACGCGACGTTCAGTTGGCACCGCTCCCGTGTGACAGAGGAGGAAAGTCTGGGTGGCTCGCCAAAGACAGTTAGGATTGGAACTCTGACCTGAAGGCCTCTACTACATGACGGGCTTCGGGGAAGGGACCCGAGAAGGTGACAAAGCTGGAGTCCAGACAGGTGGGCGTGGCCAGGAGGTGAGGAAGCCCAGAGCGAAACTGGCAAGGGTTTAAGACAGAGAGACCAGGCTGGGCCTTGAACCCTTATGTGTCTGTCTCCTGGTTTTCTTGCCCTTTCCTTTCCACTCCAAAGCCTGAGATCGCAGGCTGCCTTCTTGGTGACTGGGGTACTCCCCACGTCCTGATGCACGACACACAGAGGCCAGGACACTTTCACCCTGAGTTTGCTGGGGATGTGGGCTCGCTCTCTCTGCTGTGGTCGTTCGAGCCATAGAGTGGTGGCAGATGTGACAGGGACAAAACTGCTGGGGATTGTGCTCTCAGCTCGGAAGACTGGGGTGGACACAGCTGAGGCCCCTTGCTCTCCGTCTCCACAGACTTGGCGTGCCGTGTGGCTTGTTTCAGACGGTGACCTGGCAGAGGGTCGTTAGCTGAGGCGCCGGTACTCGGTGGTCATGGGACCCTGTCATATAGCCCATTTTACCCAAACAACCCTGAGACCTGGAGAGACCATCAGGCCTCTTTTGGGAGGAACGTGTGTAAAGAAACTTGGCGTGGGTTTCAACCAGGACGGCAGGTGGCACTGACGCCTTGATTTCTGGCTCCGTGTCCAGTGCTTTTTGTGACCGCGCTGCCTCGAACTAAAGTGTCACGGACCAGAGCGACAGAAGCCACCCTCTGAGGAAAGACGTGAGGGATTCTACTCGTCAGTGTCCTCAGGATGGAATGTCACTTTAGAGCACCTGCTTTTGTCTTAGGGACTCTGCGTGTCTGGTTCCATGCTTCTGGTGCCAGTGCCTCCTCCCCTACCCCCCACACTCCCCTAACCGCCCCTCCCCTCCCCCCACCTCCTAGCACAAGTCTTCTCGTGTGACCAACGCTAAGTTACCCTGTTTCTGAATTAGGTTCCTGCCCTTCTGGCCTCCGTGGGATCAAAGAGGTGTGGAAGGAGGCGTTCTGAGGAGAGACACAAAGGCTCTTTGGGGCCCTTGGGAGAGGCAGGGGGGCGGCAGAGGGTCCACATCGGCTGATCGCTGTGCCTCTGCAGGTGTGGAAGGCGGTGGGCTGGCGGCTCATTGCCCTGTCCTTTGGGCTCTATGGCCTCCTGTATGTCTACGAGCGTCTGACCTGGACCACGAGGGCCAAGGAGAGGGCCTTCAAGCGTCAGTTCGTGGAGTATGCCAGCGAGAAGTTACAACTCATCATCAGCTACACCGGCTCCAACTGCAGCCACCAAGTCCAGCAGTGAGTCCCCCGCGGGGCCGGGGCCGGCTCCTTTGGTTCAGAACTTCCCGCTAGCTTCCCTTGGACCTGCCCTGGGAACCGCTGGATCCCCAGCATCATCTGACACTGGCCTTCAGCCGTGCAGTGTCGGCTCTGAGACCAGGGATGGGGAGAAAGCTGTTTCCGGGGACACCCTATGCCCGGGGCCGGGGCCAGTTAGGCCTCTGTTCCCCCAAGGAAGGGAGATGCGGGCGGACGAGGGATGTTACTTGTAGTGTTTTTTCAAGGTCTGTAGGCAGAGCTTTGAAATTCTAAGACCCGGCCCTGTCTTCCTGGCACAGCTTTGGGCAGGAGGGGGCCAGGCTGCCTGCCTGGCTAGTCGGGGCAGGAGGAGTGCCGGCCTGCCTTCCTCACACTGCTGCGTGGTGGGCCCCTTGCCCGCACCTAATTTTTCATTTTCTCTGTGAACCCTTTGAAGTAGACATTGTTTGTGCGGGCGTCTCCTTTTTCCAGATGGGGAAACCGAGGCTCGAGGGGCGGTCCCTTTTCCCCTGCCACTTGGTGATTAGCGGCAGAGCTGGGATCTGAATCCCCGCCTGCTGTGCCCCAGGCAGGGTGCTCCTGGTTCTCTCACTGTGGTGACGCTGAGCGTGTGTGGCGTCCTTGGTCTGGGCAGCGGGCGGAGAAGATTCTGCCACACCGGCGTGGTGCAGGGCAGAGCTGCCAGCGGCTGACCGATGGGCACCAGGTGGATCTAGCCAGTGCCCATGTTCTGCAAACCAGCCACGTGGCCACATTGATCCCGACTCTCTCCCACTCAGGGAACTGTCTGGGACCTTTGCCCACCTGTGCCAGCAAGTTGACGTCACCCGGGAGAACCTGGAGCAGGACATCGCCGCCATGAACAAGAAAATCGAGGTTCTCGATTCACTTCAGAGCAAAGCAAAGCTGCTCAGGTGAGGTCGCCCTGGGAGGCCGGAGGTGGTGGGCTCCGGTGTGCGGCCCGGGCGCAGCGGTGTTTTGGCTGCTTGTCTGTGTCTTGCGTGGATGTGAACTTCACTCTGCGTGAGCTGTTTGCTAGCATCTGCTGGGTGCCAGATACGGTGCCAGCGCTGGACGTTCGACAGGATGTAGAGTTACTGCCCTGTGGACGCTCTCCGTCGGGGCCTTGGCGGAGGAGGAGCCAGGCAGAAGGGAGCCGTGAAGGGACCGCTCACGGGCACCTTCTCCTTCAGCAGCATCTCAGGCACTTGACGGGCGCCGTGCCGCTCACCCGTCCGTGTCCCTGCAGGGTCGTGTCACCTATCTCCGTTTTCTAAAACGGGAAATTGCAGCCTCCAGGAGTTAAGTAACTTGTCTGGGGTCCCACAGGCAGTAGCGAGGCCAGGAGGAGGATCCGGGTGTGCGTGGCTCCAGCACCCCGGGACACGCCACACGTTCATGGTCTTTCTCTGTCTACTGTGCACCGGGGTGTCTGGGCTGGACCCGCTTTACTCCATTTCTCTGGGCGCAGGGAAGGGGCATTTTTACCCGTCGGAAAGGTGGTCAGGCAGCTGGTGATGGGCAGAGCCCCCACTGGCACCCAGGTCCGTGCGGGGTCCCTGTGGAAAGTCGGAGCTTCTGTCCAAGTTTTGCTGGGGGGGGGTCAATCTAAGGAGCCAGAGGCCTGGGTTCTGGCCCAGGCACTTGTGTTTGGGCGGATCACTGAGCTTTCTTAAGTCTCATTGTTTTCATCTGTAAAATGGAGCGAGCTCTCATGACAGAGCCACAGAGCTGAACCAGAAAGCGCTCCGCAAAGGTCCTCAGCCCGTTCAGCCTGAGATAACATCAGCACCCGGGGACCCTGCGCTTCCTGCCCCCGCCCCTGACGTCAGTGCCAACCCCTGGGCAAACGGTGGACTTTCCCGGGCTGATGTGCCCTCCCCGCCCACTGCCCTGGGCGAGTCAGTTTCAAGGACCCCTCGGCAATGGGGGCGGGGGGTGGTCGCCGATGCCTCTGCTGCTCATAGCCAACAAGGACGGGGTGAGCCCGTATGGGCCGCATATCCAGCAACCCGACCCCCCACAGACAGGCAGGAAAACTGACTTCCGGACAGTTCAGGGGCCTGCCTGTGGTCAGGTGAAGCAGACATAGGGCTTGAATGTCAGGCCTTACTTTAGGCTCCATGGCTGATGAATCGTGATTGTGGGAAGTTATGTCGTAAGTTCTCTGGGTCTCTTTCTCTCATCTGCAAAGTGGGGGTTATCAGAGGAGTAAATGAGGCTATGAGTCCAGTGTCCTTGGAACCGCTCTCAGTGTGTCATGCTGTCACCTGTCGGCAGCTGGAGCGCTACAAATTAACCCTTTCTCCGCAGGAACAAAGCCGGCTGGTTGGACAGCGAGCTCAACATGTTCACGCACCAGTACCTGCAGCCCAGCAGATAGTGGGCAGCCTGGCGCCGCAGCCCGCGTGGGGAGGGGCCGTGCTGTGTGGCCCCCACTGGGGCCCCGGGCAGCTCCCGTCCGGTGCTGCCACCCTGAGAACGAAAGCACCCCCGTCTCATACCATTTTGAGCCCCTGAAACGCTA